GACTTCTGCATTTTCTGAGAACCCAGCCATGGTGGACATGATCTGATCCTGACACACTGCATTTTGTCTTTCCTATGAAGATCAATATTCGATCTCATAAAGATAGGCATGCCAAAATCTAGCATTAATTTATCATCCTTTATTTTAACAAAAAGAAAACACGAAGCCAGGCAGACACACCAAAGGATGCCAGTGAAGAGATGGAGTTCACCCATTGTTTACACCCAGAATGGCAGATTCAGGTACTGAAGCTCTCAGGAGCTCTGATACAACCCACTGAAACGCAGCCATCCACTCCCACTGTGTGAAACGCAACCGAAATGACTGTTGTCAGATTTTGGCACACAGTCATACAGATGGGGGTAATAAATCTGGTTCTTCAGTAACTGCTGCATTTCCTAATGCAGCTCATGCTACTAGTCCTCATCCTAACCTAACTGCCCATCCCTTCCTCCTGCAATAAACACTGGGTATATTTTGTATATTGTTTTCTCTCACTCATAGTGCTCACAGAAAGATTTGTCAGAAAGAATGTACCCCTGATCCTAAATGACTATAATTTTTCATAGAATTTCTTAAACGACACACAAAAGAAGGATTTTCAAAGCATCCATATTTCTTAATATTACTCTACTTACTACAAATTGGAAATTCTGTAACTCATAATAGTAAGGAGACACGTTAGAAAAGTGACTAAAGTGCACAACTCCAGCCAGTCATAAAATCCATCAGTTGGCAGCTCCACCCCAAGAGCTGAACCAGAGGCAACGGAAGGAATTATTCTGAGAGCATAAAGAAGATGTATGCTCAGAGAAAGTGCCTGATTAGTTAGTGGTTGGTAGTATGTATTTGAAACAGACTTCAAAAAAAGTTATGACAGTAGCAGTTGCATATCATTACCTATCACAAAAATACTAATAGCTAACCTTTGTCACCTGTATCGATTTCATGTTTGCCTGGTTTTTGATTATGAGACAAAACCGCATTTCTTACCAGAACTCCTGCTTCAGATTCTTGATACAAATAATTTTCCAAGAAATGTGTGAGTACTGTTATAAATTCTTAACTATAATTTTATTTAAAAGCAAGTTTAGAAATCAAGAGTTTCTTGGCTCTCAATTCTGGATTTACTCAAATCATGTATAATAAAAACTAACAAATATTGAACATTGTAAATTTTTATGCATATAAAATATAATCCAAAGAAAAAGTAAATAATGTTTTCAGAAATTAAAGATACCTCATATACCATTATGAAATGCCTAAAATGTCCTGGCCTAAAATAACACATTCATGTGAGAACTGAAAACACTGAAAACTTCTTTATCACTTATAGTTTAGGAAAAAAAGCCAGGCTTTAGCTTATTGAGTGTTTTACTGGCCAGGGTAACACAGGAATAGACTTTCTTTAACTGGGGGGACTGCATTTCTTCAGTATAAGAAGAAAGAATCATTCACATTTGCTGCCTGTGAAATTTTCTAATGAGATCTGTACTGCTTCAAAGCAGGTGGAAAAAAAAAAGTCACACACTTCTCAATTTGTGTGATGGCTAAAAGTCTTCAAGGCATTGACTAAAGCAACACAGATGCCACAGTTTCTATAACACTGTTAGGAAACTGTTAGTACTCTTACATATCTGATTGCATTTCTACTCTTAGAGAAAAGGTCACTGAACCAGTAGATACAATGAAACCTTTCAGTATAAAAAGAATGAAATTAAATAGGGTTTTTTTTCACTATGAATTTTCATGGTCTGGAGCACTACCTTTTCTGTAATATTCTGCTTATTTTTTCAAAATAACTTTTATTTCTATAACTTTTCTGTTCTAGGACATACAATAACACTATCTTGGTAGATCAAGCATTAATTGCAGATCTAATCACAGCTTTTGCACTTTATTATGTATAGTTTTAAATAAATTCCTTACAGAACAATATTTTTAAAATAGTTGATCTTGATACATAGGGAAAATTCTAAAAACGCTTGTTATTTTGATGTTTCTGATTCAGGCAGTAAAATGTGTGTTTCATCTTTTACTTTGGAACACACACCCTATAGAGGAACAGTTTTAAACTATAGTTTTGAATGGTTGTTAAAAAAACTGTTATTGTCAAATCTATTTGCTGGTTTGGCTAGGCAGCCAGGGTGAACAGGGTTATGCCACGTGCTCAGAAATACAAAAAATATACTACTAGCTGAGAGAAATGCAAATGCATGTTTATCAAAGTAGGTTGAAACATGTTTTGTTATCAAGCACATTCCAATTGTCTTTAAACACAATTATTTTCTCTGTCAATAATCCTAGCAAATATGACCTGGGTTATTACTGTTACCAACATAATTTTCACTGTTTTAATATACCGCATTCCCATCCAGTAAAAAACAAACAAAAAAAAAAACCAAAAAAACCCCCAAGAAACAAACAAATAAACCAACCCTTATTAAAATAATTCTGTTAGGCTAGAAACTGTTGAAACCAAATTTTCAGACAAAGGCTTGAACACTATCAACCACTTTGGAGAGGACGTATTGATGCTGTCTTTGGGTATGACTAACTCTGTACACTAGTGTGAAAAAAAAAAATTAGTTATTGCTACATTTTCCTATCAGAAATATTCTGCAGCTTATTTAGACTTACAGTGATCCTGTAGAAACAACATCCAATTTAATATCTACTGAAAGTTTTAATCATGTCTAAACTGGAAACTTTCATTCTAAATTTCTCAGTCCAGTTTTCTATAAAAGACACACTAAGTATTTTTCCTACATTTATTTACAACACATTGCAACTACTAGTCCAGTGACAAACAACCTGACAGTTTCTTCTTTGGATCGTTTACATGGACTGACCATTTGCTAGCTCTGATGTCAGTGAGGATGCTACGCTTGCAGCAGTTACGAGTTGGGAGTGTCACTGTGACATTATACATGATTGTTTTGGTTCTGTGATAAGAAAATAAATGGACTTCTAACACCTAGGAAAACCACACGCCTCTGGGCATAACACTGAAAAAAACCACACAGAAGGTACTGGTTCGTGTCTTGGAAAGAGTCAGTTAGCCAAGCAATAAGCCTGGGCTAATCTTCCCAGCAGAGTTAATCGACTTGGGAACACAATACGATTAAATAACTTTTTTCATACAGTCATTTCATTCAGAACCAACTCAAGCTTCTCCTCTCCTCTCCCTTCCCTTTTCCTCTCAGGTTCTGCTTTGCAAAGCATGAATCTACTGTGTGCTATTCTTTCTGTTTCTATTTTTTTCTTAGAAACACAGTATGAGACCTCCAGCTCCTAGACATACTACCTATGTCTACAGACAACTTAATACCAATTCAGTTGTAGAAGAGCACCATACAACCTTACATCAAGATTTTAAAATATATTTTGATAAATACTCTATTTCTCATCATAACCATCGCACCTTAGCCTGATTTGTATGTGCCTTTGGGGGGTGCCCTGTCATTAAGTTTTGTACTTTGCTTGGATTACTGCAATGAACTACTCACCGCATTTCCTGATTCCTTTACGTATTTCTGCAACCAGGTTCCTAAAGGTGATTATTAACATTATGCTGCAGACAGCTGCAAGCCCCTGTTGAACTGAGTGCCAGCTGAAAGCCTTGGTTATACAATTAGACTGGGGCGGGGTCAAAGGCCGCGGTAGGACAGCTGCCAGCTATCCTACAACCTTTCTTTTCGTAAGGAGGATTACATTGGCCTTGGTTTCAAATTAGCTTACTGTTCAGGCAGAGAGATCCCTTCTTTCATCAGGATCACAGTGAGTTTGCCTTTACCCAGAATAAACCGTATCAGACAGACAATCACACCAGGACACCTAATGCAATAAATCTATAGAGATGGCTTCACCATCAAAGAGCCTACAGTTCACCTTTTCTAAGCCTGCATTAGGGCACACAGCAGAAACAAATTGCTTTTAGTCTACCTCTGCTATTTGTCAGAGGGTCCCTCTGTTCCAGGGAACACCAAAAACCCAAAACACTACTAGACTGACCTTTAGGCAACCAGCATTTTATCGCTCTGTTTGTGGTGAATGAGGAGAAACGGGATGCTTTCCATCAGCTACTAAACCACTCTCCATTAGCCAATGCATTGGGTACAGAAGACTTCAGGGTCTGCTCATTTCTGCCCCCTTTTTGGTGACAGCAATTAACATAAGTTGGTCTGTTCACAGCATTTAAGAGTCTGATTCTTCAGGTACAGTTGAACAGTGATTAAAGCAAACAGAAAAGCTGTACTGTGAACTTGTGAAATAAATGCATGGCAGTTCTAGAAATACAGAAAGTCTGATGAACATACTTGTCTGTCACTGTTCACATTTTGCATACACTTCATGGTTATTGTGGAATATCTTCACAGCAAGATTTCAAAGCGCCATAACTAATCCCTGTATATTCAAGTTTGTGACATTTTATAAGACAGCTGAACTTTTAAGAAGTCTTTCAGTGGAGTTATGTTCAGATCCTAGAGTAGTTGTCCATTTGCAGTTGAAGCCAATTCCTGCATTGCTGCCACAACCAAATCTCATGCATCACCTATTGCCTTTCACAATTAATCTCTAATACATGAAAGTATTAGCAGTGATGTGGGGTGCTTTATTAAAAATAACAAGCTATTGAACAGAACCATCATTTTTAATAATTCTTTCAAAGAGTTTACAAAAAAGTCACACACATAAATTACTAGTTTAAGTCAGTATAGCTGGCTTCTTTTAATCACTGTAATGTACAGAACATATCTAGCTAATCTTTATGAAGTAAGTGTGATTACTGTACCACTGAATATGAAATATGTGAAAGATGCCAGCAGCTGCCTGTAGTTACAGGGCAATGGCCTGGATCCTCCACTGGTGCAAATTAGAGAACACAGTTTAAAGGCTTCCTTGCAGGCATTTCTTAAGATTAAGAAGCTGGTTAAGATACTGGTTTGATGAAAAAGAATCGGCATGATTTCAGTCAGAAGACAGAAAAAACAATTTACCTGAAGAAGGTGACAAAGAACTGCACCAGATCCATGATAGTATTGTGCTGTGAGAAGGCAATCTGTAAATAAAATAGAAGTAAATTACAACATTTTCAGAGTCAACAGCTCTTTTTAGGCTAGGGCTTTATGGCTCCAGGATGATTAGTTTCAAGTGTAATTTCAGTCTAGTGTGCACACACCTGCATTTACCACAAAGTGAGATGAGCAACTAACTTCCATGTCTTTGCCTGTGTCAAAATACAAACAATGGAGTATAGTCTTTCTATTGAAGTAAAGTTAATAGAAATATCCATGTAAAACTTGCTTGATATAAACAATGAAAACAACATGCAAAATATTAATAAATCATATTGATATAAATTGCCTTCTTTGTAGTCAACTGTTTTAACTATCACCATTTTCCATTTTAATAACAACTCTGAAACAAGGTTTTAGAAATGACAAAAACCATCTTGTGCTTAAAATTAATAAATTTAAAATATTTTAATTGCATCATATTAAAATTAATGCATATGTTAATTTAAAAAAAACAGATAAATCTGGTGCATAATAAAACAAACTGTTTCAAAGCAAATTACTTTAAAGACAAAGTAACAAATATTCTTTTAGGCTACATTTTTACAGCTTCACCAGAACATGCATTAGTTCAACTCCTTACTGTAATTTTTCACAAAGATTTAATAATTATCTCTAAGACAGCATATACACACAGATGCACGTTCACACTTGCATGCAATAGAGCCTATAATTATTATTATAATTACTTTTTGCTATTTTTAAGAACAGTACTTAAGTTATATCTACAAATATCCTTAAACTATTATTTATTATTATAATTACTTTTTGCTAATGTTAAGAACAGTACTTAAGTTATAATATCCTTAAGTCCCCGTCTTGTTCAGTTTATAGTGTATAATAATTATCAAACTGAAGATATACAGAATCTTCTACTTTGAATTGCACAAAGTGTTTATCTAACTCTATTTCCAGCCTGTTCAAATAATTGTTGTGTTTACCACCAAATTAGTCTGATTCCCTTTCACAGCTGACTTGTGAACTTTTGAAATTATAACTCATGATACTCAAGAATTTTTTGAGAGAGTAAATCTAAATGTGCCTAGCTTAAGTAGATTGCTGTGTATGGATCAGGGCAAAACCTATATTCTGGCCTGGGAGCCTGTGGAAAGACAAGAAGCTGAAGACCACATGGGAACGAAGCAGGAGAGAGAAAGAACTCTCTGACTCACTACTCAAGTTTAATCTACAAATGTTTTCAGAGTAAAACTTACTTGTTTGGTTGTATGGGATATTCTTAAAAGTACTCATACTTAGAGCAAAACCACAAAAACTTCCACCCCAGAAGTAATTTCAGATTTTAATCAAACATTATCTTCTAATGATTACATTAGAGTTCATGTTTAAAAGATGAACTACAGTATTTTCTGAAGAAACAGTACCATGCATCTTAGACTAATTTCAACACAGAATATTAACAAAAAGAATACATATTTTAATTATAAGTAGATCACGAAGGAGCAAGTAAATGTCGTGAATCTAAGCCTGACACAAAGGACCATAATACAATTAAAAAGATTTATTTCCATGGGATTTTCATCTAGAAATGAATGTTAATGTCTTTTTTCTTGTGCCTACATAGACAAGGGACAAGACAAGGAAAATTCTTTCAACCCCAGGTTTTCACTTTGGACTTAAAGATACTGGAGATGAGTATCTCTTTTGTTAATCTGTATCATGCCTAAGTAGCCCTCAGTTTCACCAAAATGTCTAATAAGCCTATGGATCCCACAAATATTATCTCTACCTTCTCTTACAAATGAAGATCAAGATAAATATCATCTCTTTCATTTCCTATGGAATAGAATCACCAAGTGCCATGTGGAAAATAGTTTTCTATGGCAAAGGACAGCCTCTATGAGTGAACACAGAATTTCCAGCGTAAAACTATTTCCCTTGAAGAAAGAGGAACAATAACACCTCTGCTTTACACAGATTAACACTGAAAAATGGAACTAGGATTACTTATAGTACTATAAAACATTACTTGAAATACAATTTCAGGTGCAGATGCTAATTCTTTCATTCACTAGCATGAGATTTCTAAAAGAGAAGTTAGGACTGACATCAGTATGGCAGCTACAGATATGGCTATAGAAGCAGATACATTTCAGTAACTGTCCATGATTTATGCTTCTCTTCAAAGGCAAGCTTATAGACAGCTATCTGTCATAAATGTCATCGAACAGCTTTCTCACCTTCACAGAAACCACTAGAAAACTTCTCATCAACTGCAACAATTGAAGTTCTTTTCCCTGTTTGGCTAGCATTAAAAGCTTTCAGTGGGTTTATGAACCAATACTGTTACAGCCAAATTGTTGCTTTGCAACATGAATAATGACAGGTTTTGCAAAAAACTACAAAATGGATGTTTATTTTTCTTAAATACTCTGCTATAGACAACAAATAAATTAATTAGAAAATTTAAGGTGAATCAGAATTTATCATTTTCACAATAAAGACATCCAAAACTGTACCCCAAACAAAAAAGAACTATATTCTGAGGGCTTCAAGATATGCAACAAAATAATTAGTCTGATTTCCTAACACTACCCAATTTTATTTTCCGTAGAAATTGGTTACAGTATTGGAATATCCCTTGAATGCAACCAATGCCATTTGATTTGTAGCTAACCTAAAGTTTTGTCATTTGCTGCTAAAAAACTACTAGCAGATGATTATTAGATTATCAAGCTAGAATGAATTTGCTAAAACAAAAACATTACAGGACATAGAAATTCCTAGCTTTGTACTCCAGTGGGGCAAAGTCTAATCTCAACACCTGGTTCACAGAACAACCTAGAAGTTGTTTGAGCTTTTTGTGCATTAAAAAAGAAAAAATTGATACAAGCACCATCAACAATGACAGCTGTCCTATGATTAGACGATCTCTACCTTGAACAATGTAACAACAGATGAATTTTTGTGGGGTAGTTTAGAACGTTCTAATGGTGGTAAAACTCCAGCTATGAGGATCTATGATAACAAGAAAGAGTTGTATGCATCAACGTTTTTTTCCACAAGGCAAAAATGAGTCAAGTTCCTTTTGATGCCCAGAATAGAGGACTTCAAATCAAAATAGAAGTTGGGAAGATTGCTCATTTTAGTATATTAGATCATATAATATCTTTCTTGTGTGGAGTAGAGGGGATATGTCAGGGAGGAAGAAGAGTTGAAAAGGTAGGCAAGTTGTAACAAAAAAGAGAGATGGATAGTTTATAACCTGTGAAATATGAAGAGATAAGCATGTGCAAGGAAACTATAACGTGCCATAAAACTGATACTTCTACCAAAGCCAAAGCTTTTTGTATCCTAGTCTCAAGGTTCATCATGTGAAGGAGTTGTGAGGATCAGGACCTAGAGGTAAGAACTGCAGTGACTGTTTTATGAAAAATGCTCTATAATTAAACTCTGAGCAATTGCTTTCAACCTGGATTTAACTTTGAAGTCTGATGCTTCTGTATCAGACATGAAGAAGGACTTGTGTGTCTGAAAGTTTGTCTAACTTTTCCGGGTAACCGGCTGCCTTAATAAATGATACAAACTTCTATCTACAAAACCCATCTTGCCATTTTAACTTTAGGAATAGTGTTATCAGAGTGCTTTTTCTATCAATATTTCTGCCTGGATTTTTATCTGGATGAACTAAAATATTAAAAAATTAATTTTCATGTACAATCCTATAGTGCACTACATTTGTATTCTATTAGATCAAAGCAATACCAATACACAGAATAAATGTAGATACATTTTGAAATCTACAGTCACAAAAACTCAAAGAGAGAATGAAAAGATTCCAAATCAAAATGTGTTATATATATGTTCCAGCTCACAGTCTTAAAAGAGAAAGGTACACGAAGAAAAAGCTCATGGGTGATAACTGAGCTGTGGTGATTGCTCCAACAAGTATTACTGATGTGTCTATCTTTTTTCCCTACCATGTTCAAGCCTTTGAAAAATATATGTTGGGTTATTTTAAAAAAAAAAAAACAAAAATAAAACCCTGAGAAAGCACTTAAGTTCTTTAAATCATGTGACCTAATTGGAAGACAAGGCATTGTGACTGCTGACAAATCTTTTATAGCAATTGAGGATTCAAAAGCCAAATATCCAGCAGAATATGCCAGAGCGCACTGCATACAAGGATGCATTGCAACCAAAACTTCAATGTATGGTATTTCTTGATTTTTGATGTTTTGGTTACATGCATGATGTAGGAAATATACTTTACACTGAACAATGATGGATGGAATAGGTCTGTTGAAACAGGAACGACTGTTGAACACAGGAATTTTTCCAACCTTCAAAAGTTAGTGTCTGCAGGAACGTATTTTTTTTTCCACTGCTCTAGATACTTCATTTCGTTTTCACCTTGACTATCACATGCAGCAATAATACAGTCCTACAGAACAATAGGTCAAGATCTGTTCCACCACAAAATGAGACAATCTTGAAAGTCTAACTTAGGGACATCTTTCATATGGAAATAGTAAGTCTGGCCTCAGAATTTTGTGTTTCAGTTTGAAAAATATAGGTGTTGATAAGTTGTCACTGCAATTCTAACAAAACCAATATAGCAAAAGGAAGAAGAAAGGGAAAATTAGGCACAACAGAAGTGCACTAAATCAAAATTCCACACTTGCAGTAAACATGAACCTAATCCATGAAATGGTTCATATATTCAAATAATGTACACAAAGAGCAATTTTAATCTATGCTTCATTTCATGACATTATCCACTAATGTAAACTTCTATCTGCTCAGGCTCTCAGACAATGAACAAATACTTCCATTAACACAACTCTTTCATCTTCCACTGTTAATAAATTAAGAATGAACAAACAGGACAAACTAAAATAAATACATGGTAAAACTTTGGTAGATGTTCTAATTATTAAACCTGGAAACATAATACAATAAGGCCAGACATAACCCAAACTAAACTGCCTGGACTATGTTGATTATGCATACTTAAACCCTACAG